GCTCTGCATCGGACGGCCCCTCATTATACCCCCTATCAGCTACACTGTCAGGGTCAGCAAGAGGTAAGGAAAGCCATTTCTTCCCCTTCTTTCGCGAGGGCACTATAGAGGCGTTAGCACCTGATATCTTTTGTGAAGTTAGAGGGCATACTCGGAGTATTAGAAACAGGCATTTCACCTGGTGTAGTAAGCACACATGGTGTTACAGCCACCTTAGGTGGGAGGGGCGTTGTGGGGGAACCCTTAATTGGCTTTGGTGATTTTCGAGGGGGAGATCGTTCCAGGGAATTCCCTCCAGGAAGGAGATCTTCTGGCATGACTAAGTAGGACATTTTTCCAAGCTTTTGGTTGATAGATCTGTGGAGAGTCCCTGTGTTGTGTGATCTAGGTAGAAAGGTAGAGAGGTAAAGAAGAAAGTGGTAGGTGGCGACAAATAGATGGCCGTCTTTTTAAGAGAGTTTCCCCCCGGAAGCACTCTGTGTGGTGCCCTAGGGTTGAATGGTAACTTCCCTCAGGAGCAATTCATCCAAAGAAACATATGCGCAACTGAATGTGGCGGGGTTCCCGGATATCCCTCAATATTCAAACCCCCCACCAACCCCTTCCACTCAATCCAAGTCTTTCATTACCCCCCCCCCCGGCGAGAGCGAGATCTATATCCAATCTATATCCAATTCTCGCAAAAAAAAGTCATCGCATACTAGTCATAATTTGGTTAGAATCTTCAGGCTATAGTACGCTCAAATAGGATTTCTACCCGTGTTTTGTCTCAGAATCTCAATAAAACGCCATACCCCAACTCTTTATAGCTCGGTCTCAACCCTTCAAATCTGATTTTGACGCGATTATAAGTTTCAACGTGCTACTACCTAACGACTCTAAACAAATATACGATACCGCGAAGTGCCGCACTCGTACAGCACGTTCCAAACATTGATGATTCAAGATGGTGGGGGGGGTGTGAGCTCACGAACTTACTTCCACTCCAATCACCCTACCAATAAAAGCTTCTAAGCCGCTGTTGGTTTAAAAGACACAACAAATCTTCCAGAGTTGAATTTCGGATATGGCTTGCGCGTGCAATAATAAAAAAGATTACGTTTATTCACCAACTATCACTCGAATACTATAGTAAACTACAGCCGTATTTGTAAATTTCTCGTACCATACACTCCCTTGTATCTCAGGGGCTACGCCAACCAACTACAAGAGAACAAGAAAAGCCTTTTAAATGAGTGTTTTTAAATATGCCTCTAGGGATACCGTACAATTTTAGAATAATTTGCTTTACAGAATAATGACAAAGCGTTCCAAGGGCAGGTGTTACTTGGAAGAGTACGAGAACTTTACGAATACGGCCTTACAGTAGGTAGCATTTCATAGAAACTCTCCAACAAGTGGAACGCGCCCCCTAGATTTTCAGTGTGAAATACCCTTCTCCGACACGCAACTACCCAGAGCCGAGGGGGCCGGGAAAGGTTAAAATGTATGCCGAGGCAGAAAATTCTTATGTTTTCAGAGCAGAATTAGTCACGCTCTATGGGGAACCTGGTGTCGCTCATCCCCACCTTAGCTAAGCTCTTACACACTTCCTTCTATACACAATTGCTTATAACGAGTGGGCATCAATCTGGATAAGCTTGAAACAAAATATGGCCGAACACAACTACCTTTGGCAGCCCAGAAAGGACATAAGAAGTGGTAATTATATCATACTTTTGGAACGAGAGAATTTGAGCACACAATAGACTTTATTGGTAGAGGCACACGCTTTCACTAGCTCAGCAGCATGGACAACGAGGGAGTTACAAATCTAGTCCCGAAGCGCAAATCTTCTATTCCCCGACCAGAAGAAGGAGACCCAATATCAGAGCTCTCCTTACTGCAGGCGTCCGGGCCCCCCTAGCCCCCCTCCAAGTACAGATATTTTTGTGGTCCCGGATACCTAAAATTCCCACTTCAGATACCCCAACCACGGCCAGGATAGCGGTCAATTGGCATTCTCACATTATTCCTGCTTTGCCAACTGGTTTTTCCCATCTCACAAATACCCACTCCTCCGGCGGTCCTTGCGGGAAAATCTTTCATAGATTTAGACGCGAGGACTGAGTACACTCTTGGAGGATCGAGTGATTTAGTGTGAGCGAAGGTTGCTTCTCTTTCTTTTCATTTCCTAGAGATTTTTCTCGAGAATCATTTATATGTTTCTACGTTACTTTATCAGACAACTTTCTTTTCGCCCCCAGACAGTGGAGGGCTTTCCCCCGCAGGTTGCTTCCCCCTATCGAAATACATCATACTTCTGTGGGCTCCCAGAAACCATATACAAAATACACTCTAGACAATTCCCGATCCGTGGCGCCAATTTGACAGAAAAAATTGGAAGTCTCGCGTCCTTGGTAATTGCAGTAGTCTACCTCGCGTATTGTAAGCTTTCAATGGGCAAATAACAAAGGCAATAATTATGGGTTAGGAAATCTTAGTATCCATAGTATCCAGCTATATCTAGAGCTCCTGAAAGGCATCAATTCTCGGAGGCACTGGGGTGGTTAGCCTTCAATTCCATGATCTCGGGTTTTTAAGGGTTTGAGAGCAATGTTGATGGAGCCGCAAAATTCCTATGAATACGATAATTTCCCGCCACAACGGACCGACCTAACCAGATCCCAACCCTTCCCGCCTTAGGGCAACAGAGTATCCCGGGCGGTATCATACGTGTGGAATAGTATAACCACAATCACTTGAATGATTAGGCGGTGTGCTATGTCGTTGGTCTTATCTCTCCCAATAAGGCTAAGAAACATTGGGTTATTTTCTATCTCCGAAGGGGAATGGGGCTGTGTTTTTGCTATGTTCCCCCCCCCCAGACAAGGGTGTCATTTGTCTTAAGCCACAATCTCGGTATGAGCTTATGTAAGCGGAACCATCAACCTCAACTACCAGCGATACCATCACCGCTCTGATTAACCTAGCCAACGCAACTACCGGTACCAAAACCCGGTACCCAGCCCAACCGAAGTCATACTCACGTTACCCGATAACCCTTACCGCTTCTTATAAGGCTTGCAGATGGCGGAGAGAGGCAACACACCACAAACGATAGATCTCGGCTCCCCACGGAGGAGGCGTGTCGACGTCAACATTCCAGACAGAGACGGCCAAACGGCACTCTTGTGGGCAGCGAAGCAAGGGCACGAGGAGGTTGTGAAGCTAATACTGAGTCGGGGGGATATTGCTACCGGTGCAGCAGACTACCACGACCTAACTCCACTGGATTGGGCTGCTGCGTACGGTCATGAGGGGGTTGCGAGGCTATTATTGGACCGGAAAGATGTCGACCCCGAGAGGCAGGGGCGGTGGGGCAAAACACCACTCTTGTTGGCCGCCGACAATGGGAATGAGGGGGTGGTTGGGCTGCTACTGGAATGCAAGGATGTTAACCCCGAAAGGCAAGACCTGCGGGGTCAAAAACCGCTCTTGCTAGCCGCAAACAAGGGACATACGGGGGTGATGCGGCAGCTACTGGAGCGGAAAGATGTCGACCCCAACGGGCGAGGCCCATACGGCACAACGCCACTCTCCGTGGCTGCAATGTGGGGAAACGAGGAAGTGGTTCGGTTACTACTAGAGCAGAAAGATGTCGACCCCGACATGCCGGACGACGATGGCCGAACACCGCTCATGTCGGCTGCTGAGTCGGGGCGTGAGGGTATTGTGAGGATGCTGCTGGAGCGGGGAGACGTTAATCCCGACATGCCGGACAACGGCGGCCGGACACCGCTCTCGTGGGCCACCGAGAGTGAAGACAGCACGGTGGCGAAAATACTACTGGAACGAAAAGATGTTAGCCCTGATATGCCAGACAACACTGGTCGGACACCATTTTCTTGGGCTGCTCAGAAGGGGTACGAGGGCGTGGTGAAGCTACTGCTTAGACGGAAAAATATTCGCTATGACATGCCGGACAACATTGGTCGGGCACCCCTCTCGTGGGCAGCCAAGAAGGGGCGCGAAGAGGTAGTAAAGCTACTGCTGGGATTGGAGGATATCAACCCCGATAGGCGAGACATGTCCGGCCAAACACCCCTCTTGTTGGCTGCGATGTGGGGACGCGCAGGAGTGGTGAAGCTACTGCTGGGGAGGAGAGATCTTAGCCCCCATATGCCGGACAACGAAGGCAAAACACCACTTTCATGGGCTGCTGAGTATCGGTTCGAGGAAGTGGTGAAGCTGCTAGAGGCTCACCAACCCGCAGCCTCCAACACACCTTGAAGCCACGCATGCCTTAGCCGTATGATATCATACATCCTCCCACGACCACTATCCCCACCCGGGCCAGGAGTTAGGGCAGGAGAGAGGATATAATGGGAGGTTCAGTCTACTCTTTCGCTGCCCTCCCCAGTGTGGATCCCCCATCACCGTATTTCGTGGTCTTTACTCTCAATAATATGATACGTGTATCATACCATTTATAGAATACCTGTATTTCGAACGAAAAATCTAGCATAAAAATTCCCGCCTCAATTATGAATAACAATTTTAACATTAGTAGACTAACTATGGGGCCGTCCATAATATTATACATATCACACATTACCCCACGATGCCGTGTAATACCACACCGTCCGAGCCCTACACACATGCTCGGTTATCGAGCCATCGGTCATGATCACATAAATTTATACCCGACCATCACCACAATCCGATCATGGGCGTTCTTCTCGACCATGACGTAACTGAGGATCCCTGTGATGAAAGTGGACGAGCATCGCTCTACGGTAGCCGAGCAAAACTCGACCGCAGCCCGACGGTGCCCATCACTAACCTCAACACATAGTCTACGGCTCGCGGCCAGCCAGCGTTCTAGTTGTTGAACTATAAACTTTGAGCACATAACCTCTCCCCGACACTCGACAGTAACTGGCCGGGTAGGAGTCGTCGTGGCTTTACTGGTGTTCATTGAATGACTGATTGCCCCTACGATCACAAATCTGATGAAGTCCCCTCTAATCTTTTCGATTAACGCGATAGCAAGTAAACATTAACATCACACCACCTAACATCTCAGGCCACACTACTTTCTCTCCGCCCTTGCCGCTGCCCAGTTCCTATCAACTTTGCGATCAGTCCACTTGGTAGCTACCGGCGCCATAGGGTTTCAACCCACGATATAAGGTAAATTGCTTCCCCGATAAAGAAGGCTGTCAAGAGCTAGAATTAGTGAGGTCAGTTGGGGCAGCACCTTGGAAAAGTCTCAGGAATACATACAAATTTGAATACGAAACCCATTTCGGCCTTCTTTTTTTCTTTTTGGAGACAAATTGCAGGTGTGAGATAGTATTTTCGAGTCGAGTCTTGGGATTTTTGGGTGTGGAGGTGTGTAAGGAAGGTATCACCCTTATATATCTTCCATCCGGACCGCTATCGGGTGATGAGGTGAGCGACTCGATCTTTTCATAAAAAGCCGGGCTCGCCCAGTGGAGTCCCGGCTGTCTTGGCAATCCTTTGCGCTGAGATCCGGAAAAGCTGTTTCTAAATTCGGAATCTGTTAAAAAGCTAGAACCAAGAGGGTGGGGTGGTTCTGATTTGGGAGCTTCCAAAGCCTGGAATTGGAGACATGAATCGATGATGAATTTTCCGTGTTGCCGAGCTTGAGACGGTAGTGTAGTGATGATATCAGGGACCAGCACAAACAACCTACTCGAGTACAGTACTGTACTTGGTGAGTGCATAGTCTAGGTGGCTAGTGAACACGACACATCGCCTTACGAAAAAAAGAGACATGCCTAACAGAAATTCAGTGATCCAACAAGTACTCGGATATGGAGGTTAGTGATGGGACAGACAGGGTATGGGTGGCCGAAGACATATGCGCATGGCGCGGGAATCAATAGGCATGTCCTCGGCCACTAGATCCCGGTCCGTCTCATCACCAACCTCCATACTCGAGTACCGTGCTGTGAGAGAGAGGCATTGCTCTTCCTAAGATACAGGAGTACTCGTAGAAACCGATAGGCTTGAATACGTGGTGTAGGACCTAAAGTTACTCCACGCCTCCTCCAATATGTAGACTGCGCACTTCTGTCGTAATCTGTGCCTGGCCATCAACGAGTCTGACATAGTTCTGTTCGTCACCACCTTCCCCCCTATCACTTGATTCCTTTATAATAACATCATGTCCCCCAGAAAATCTAAGGATTGACTGCAAAGCGACAATTTTTCCCTGCGCCGCCCCTCACCACCCCATCTGGACCGAAAAAAATCCGGATACCCAGAAACCAGACGCTGCCACGGAAAATAGACTGTGTCCCAAATCTTTTTTTCTAACCTCTACATTTTTAGAGATTCCCACGGGGAGCTCTCCGCCCACTTAATGCATCGCGATTCAGGATCCTCCTTGCTTTCTAGTTGACTTGGCTATCGTCAGTACAAACCAGACTTTTAGGAAAAAATACTTGGGTGCGGCTGAGGCGAAGCCGGGCATCGTACCTCTTGTTCAAAATTTCGGTCCCAAACGGCCAGTCCGACCTATGATCTGGCCACGATTCAGAAGAGCCTAGGTCAATCCGGCTTAAATTATTACCGGCAACCAAATCTTGAGGGCTCCCAGGCAACCGCCATATTGAGAGATTATGCAATCCAGCCAAAGGCCGCCAGATGCCCGGATTAAAATCCACAGATGCATACACAGAGCTCTTTATACAGTATTTATTTTAACCTTGACTGCATAACCCACAGATACCCGTTCATCCGCTGATATCCAGTTCAGCGGCCTTTATTTATCCCAGTCGCGTCGAATTGGCGCCTAACTAGCCATCCCTCAAAACACTACAAAAGAACACCACCATAGGCAAACCCACCCCGCAACCATCCCCCCCAAGATTAAATCCAAAAATCACAAGCAGCAGCAGCTCACGCACGATCGCCCATGGAAATTGATCCCTTCGCAAAGTCATCGCTGACGGAAAAGTGCTATGGCAAGGTCTTGGCGACAACGGTGGTACAAGGCACAGGCCAGATGTTTTCGTACACCTAATGCCAAGTATTTAATGGAGTACGGTGCACAAATGAAAAAATACCGAACAGAAACACAACACCACTATTTTCCACAGAACAGGTATCATGACCAGAGTGTGTTAACAAAAAAAGAAGGTTAACCAACAGAAATATAGAATGATAAGCTTCCATTTGGAAATATTGTGACTAAAATGCATCAAAAAATAGGGAAATTTTATTTTAATTGAAACAGAATACCATCTTACTATAAGCGAAGATAGGAGTTCCTGTAAAAGTATTAAGATAAAAAGGCTTCAGAAAGCAGAGAGGAAAGAAGTATATGCTAATGAGAAAAGTCAGATTTTCTTCATAATATCTGCACCCATGGCTCCAACTCCTCCGCAATCTCATCAAGTACTTCAGTCGACCACTGGGTCTCAGTGTTCTGAGACCCCAATTCCTCCAGTTGAGTGTGTTTCTATTACCTCTTCATTAAGATCTAAGATCTGTGGACTCCACACTCATGCCTCATGGTCCTTTCGTCATATTGCTCAAGAAGTAGGAGTTGCTGTCAGCACAGCCTTATCAATCTGCCAGGCACCATCCACACCGAAAAGGATCAAGCCATAGTGTCCAAAGACACTTAGTACACCTATTCGCAAACGACTTATTGAGATCACAACATCAAGTCAGAGAAACCAGCATCTTCCATTTTCTGAGGTTGCTGCACTTGCTAGTATTAGAACTAGTCTACATCAATTACGCACAGCTTTTACGTCTGAAGGTTACCATCGTTGTGTTGCACGCCCTCGCCCATATCTCTTCTTTCAAACTAAACAAAAGCGTTTTGATTGGGTATGGCAATATGCAGATTGGACACATACAAATTGGCATAAGATCATATGGAGTGACAAGGCTACATTGAATGTTGGAGGACTCTCCTCAAGTGGTAGAACTTTGGTTACTCGGATGCCTGATGAGGAGGATCATGAAGATTGTCTAGTACTTATCTTTCCAAAGCTGCAGACAGTTCTTGTATAGGTGTAACAATCCCTCCTTGGATGGTTAGTTCTTGGCGATGGAGAACAATACTTCTCTTCTCCTTGTTTGACTTCCTTTATCTTATGATAGAACTAGGCCTCTGCCTACGTTACCGATAGTACAAAACCTCTGTCTTCTATCGGGAACGCATATTGTAAGCTTTCTCTAACCCTTCTCCGTGAAGAGCTTTTCTCTGCATAACAATAAATATTGCAATAAAGATAAAGATCATAAAGGTATTTTATATTCATTTAAAATAATAATATGTAGGAAAAGTACTTAGAACAAAATGTGAAGAATCTATCCTCCTCGGCCACATCGGCCTCCTTATATAGTGTTCTTCCCGCCTATAATCATGTGACCCAAAGTGGTCACATACAAAATCATAAGAAACTAGTCATGTGACCAAAGTGGTCACATGCTCAAAACCCATTACCTCATAGCCAGATCATGTGCAAAAACTCATAAACCAATCATAACTCAATAAACAAGTCATATGACTCGACTGAGTCATATGCGTGAAACCCAATACCTCATAATGAGGTCATGTGCAAAACATAAATCATATGTGCAAGGCATACCTGCAATGTAACGTGTTCGCAAGGTGCTAATCACGTTATCGGTAATAGATACGATAGTTGGCAGGTGGCCTGCTCTTCCTGAGAGAAGGCGAGAGCTGAGAACTAAAGAAGGCTTCGGAGGCATACTAAGGAACAAAGAAGTAACCATTCAACCAAGTATATTGGAATACGGTCTATCAAAGTCTACCTTTTCTATCGTAGAAACAGGTGGTCTTTAAAAGCACAAATCTGTTTATGTCTAACATGAACGAAACTAATCAAAGGTATCAATCAATACACTTTGGTAAAACTACTTAAGTATCAAAGCAATACTTAAAACAAACCAAGTATCAAAGCGATACTTAAAACAAAACATAAAACAAAATCAAGTATCAAAGCGATACTTAAAACAAAACATAAAACAAAACCAAGTATCAAAGCGATACTTAAAACAAAACATAAAACAAAACCAAGTATCAAAGCGATACTTAAAACAAAACATAAAACAAAACCAAGTATCAAAGCGATACTTAAAACAAAACATAAAATAAAACCAAGTATCAAAGCGATACTTAAAACAAAACATAAAACAAAACCAATAACCGAGTACCCATACCGGTTACATGCAAGATACACTCGCAAGGCATACTTGCCAGGCACACGTCCCATGACTCATAATCGAGTCATGTGCGAAACATAACAAATCATAATATAATAAGTCATATGACCCAAATGAGTCATATGCATGAAACAATAACATACCTATAACTCATCATCATGAGTCATGTGAAAACCTTTTCTATGCCAAGCCACGTTCATGACAATGGGTATGTTTTAAAGGCAGCAATAAGAGGCCATTGATAATCTGGGATAAGGAGAATTGGGGGGCAACAGTAAAATCAGTCTTATTCTTTCAGCATATTGTTCCTAGGCTCCATGAATTTTGGCAACAACAGTCCCACCTTCAACTTGATTATGTTTATCTTATACAAGATAATGCCTCTCCACATATAGTGGGCTACACTCAGAGTCGCTTTAAGGAACTAAGTGTAACGTGTTCGCAAGGTGCTAATCACGTTATTGGTAATAGATACAATAGTTGGCAGGTGACCTGCTCTTCCAGAGAGGAGGCAAGAGCTGAGAACTAAAGAAGGCTTTAAAGGTGTACTGGGGAACAAAGAAGTAACCATTCAACCAAGTATATTGAAATACTATCTGTCAAAGTCTGCCTTTATCGCTAAATACACAAATCTGTTCATGTCTAGCGTGAACAAAACTAATCAAAAGTATCAATCGATACGCTTTGGTAAAATTAATTAAGTATCAAAGCAATACTTAAAACAAAACATAAAACAAAACCAATAACCGAGCACCCGTACCGGTTACACTAAGTATATGGGAGTATTTTATCGATTGGCCTCCTTCCTCCCCAGACTGCAATCCAATCGAGAATGTGTGACATCTTATGAAGCAATGAATTCGGCAGCGCACACCATTTCCCACCACCAATGATGCTTTTCATGTCACCATTCAGGAGGAATGGGATGCCATTACTTCCAAAGAACTTAGTTCTTTAGTAGATTCACTTCCAACCTGTGTTTGTGAGGTGCGTATTACACTCTTTTCTACTTTCCATTGGTGTTATCTCTGTATACTATTTCTACTACTATTACAGCTACTACTACAGTGACTTTTTTCGTACATTATCCAGTTATGGGCCAGTTTAGTACCTGAAGCTGACATCAGAGATTCTGATTCT